GGGGAAACTTGGGGCGCCCGGGGGGAGGGGGGAGCTCAGTCGGTTAAGCCTCCAACTCTTGTTTTTGGCTCAGGTCATGATCTCACGGCTTTGCGGGTTCAAGCCCCGCGTCGGGCTCTGCACGGGCAGCACGGAGCCCGCTTGGGATTCTCCCTTTCTCTCTCTCTCTGCCCCTCCCCCACTTGCACTGTCTCTCTCAAAATAAATAAAAACAAAAACAAAAACAAAAACAAAGAAGCTACCCGGGGTTTTCCTTTCCTGAGCTACGGTGGCAACGAGGATACGATCTGCACCAGGGCGGTCCCAGCAACGAGCAGCTTTCCCTTTTTTAAAAAGAAATGTTATTCTCAGGTAACTGTACAGCTACAGAAATCGTAAGAAATAGCACAAGAAGATCTCCATATACCCCACACCCCGTTCCACAGCAGTAGCATCTTGCAAAACTGCATCATCTGTGGCTGTCCCAGAAACTCCCACACTGTTTCGCCTTGTTTTACAGACCAGGGGACGGAAGCCCGGGGGGCACCTGCCCCAGGTCCCCAGCCAGCAGGGCTGTGCCTCTCTCAGCCCCCCTCACCGAGAAATTCTCCACCCCAGAGCTTCCCATGGTTTTCATCCCACCCCTCAAAGCCTCATGCATGTGTCAGCTCCCCTCGCCCCCCGCAGAGCCTTCGGAATCGGGACCCCCTGCGAACATCTACCCCCCGCCACCACCACCACCACCGCATGCTGACATGACCCCGTTTCTCCTCCTCCCTGGCATCACCAGCATCGGAAACCACGTCTTTTGTCTGCTCCCCACTGGAGTCTAAGCTCCGTGAGGGCAGGCATCCCCTTCCGCCCCCAGCTCCTCCAGTGGCTCAAAGGAGCTCCGCCATCTGATGGATGAACAAACAGGTGAGCCTCTTCCCCACACTGGGACCTGCCCTCTGTCGGGATACAACCTGCCTATCGTGTTTCCGCAGCTACATTTAGCCGGAGGCTGCAGCAGCTGTCTGGACAACCCAAGTCATTTCTGGACCCCGCCTCCAAGGCAGGAGACCACCTCCACCATCAATTTGCCGCAGCCTTGGGCCTGGCTGCTCCTCTCAGCCTTGGTGTCTGCATCTGTAAAATGGGGGAAATGACTCTCACATTCCCTTGCAAACCAAAGTCTTCCCGGAGGGGTGGGGGGGCCAGCTGCTTGCCCGGCTGGTGGGGGGGCTGCTCCGTAACAAATGATGGAAAACAGGGCACCTTAGCCAACAGCCCCCACACTCGGAAGACCAGAGGACCCACTGACGAGGTGAAGCACAATCACTCTGACTGGCTGGGACCCCCTGCTCCCTTTCTTTTTAAAATTAAAAAAACATGGGGCGCCTGGGTGGCGCAGTCGGTTAAGCGTCCGACTTCAGCCAGGTCACGATCTCGCGGTCCGGGAGTTCGAGCCCCGCGTCGGGCTCTGGGCTGATGGCTCAGAGCCTGGAGCCTGTTTCCGATTCTGTGTCTCCCTCTCTCTCTGCCCCTCCCCCGTTCATGCTCTGTCTCTCTCTGTCGCAAAAATAAATAAACGTTGAAAAAAAAAATAAAATTAAAAAAACCAAAAGCAAAAACAACTCCCTGCAATAACACCTATTACCCGTCGAGGGCCCCGGGCTCACAGCCCCAGTCGCCAGCAGAAACCAACTCATCCTGGAGGAAAGAAAAGTTCAACTGACGAGCTATAAATATTTCTGCTAAATGCTGCTGGGAGTGGGGCTTTCTGCATGAGCGGGCCCCACTGAAAAGGAAGGCGGCTCACCAGATTTGTTTCGAATTATGAAAATAGATGTTGTCTCCCCACATCTGTTTTGCCTGACAAATGAGCGCCAGTTTGCCTCCTAAATAAGGCAGCACACCAAGGCCGCCCCAAAACCCCGGCCTCTCCAACTCTTCAGACAGGAGAAACAAATAAGGCCAGGCCTCCCAGATTTGAGCTCCAAAAAGGAGACTTTAAAAATCTCATCTCTCAAGCTGCGGGCTCTTGGGGCGTCTGGGCCACCTACATGCTTCAGCTGGGCTTTCAAAGCTCACGTCTCCCCGCACAAACGGAAGCTGATCTCATTAGGAGGAACGGTATCTTCGGCTGCTCTTTTAAAAGACCAGGAGACATGATCAATTATACAAACGTGAAAACGCAAAAGGGGGGGGGGGCCTGGTGGTCGGTTAAGCGTCCGACTTCAGCTCAAGACATGATCTGGCAGTTCGTGAGTTCGAGCCCCGCGACGGGCTCTGCACTGACGGCTCAGAGCCCGGAACCTGCTTCGGATTCTGTGTCTCCCTCTCCCTCTGCCCCTCCCCCACTCGCACTCTGTGTCTCTCTTTCCCGATAATAAACATTTAAAACTTTAAAAAAAAATTTTTTTAATGCAAAAAAAACTAAAAAATAGCCCCCCAAACTCAAGCCAAGAGTATGTTCCTAACATGCTGAAAAAGGCTAATTTTTGGAGGGAAACATCAAGGCCAGTGCCACTCCTCTGCCCCGCTGGCCGGGTGACTGGGTTAATATCATCCTTCTCCTTTAATTACTCCCAGACAGACCCAATCCCAGCACAGACACGTCCGCCAGCCCACGGATGTGATCCTGAAAAGCCCTTCCTTCCGCCCCGTTCTCGCCCCAGCACCTCGGGGAGGGAGTGGGACAGAGAGAGACAGAGCATGAGCAGGAGGGAGAGAGGGAGACACAGACTCCGAAGCGGGCTCCAGGCTCCGAGCCATCAGCCCAGAGCCCGACGCGGGGCTCGAACTCACGGACCGCGAGATTGTGACCTGAGAGCTGAAGTCGGACGCTTAACCGACTGAGCCACCCAGGCGCCCCTGTTTTGGTCTCTCTCTTAAAGAAAGGCCCCTTTTTTTTCATTTTGGACTTTCCTCCTTAACGATGGACACTGTGGTCCTGGGGGAGTGGAAAGACACCTCAGTGACCGCATTAACTCAAAACAGAGCAAATTCGGCCACCCGACCTCTGTCTTCCAGGGAGAAGGGAATTACAGGTTTTCGGGCTAGAAACTAGGAAGAGGTCCGAGTTCTCCCGGCAGCTCATCGTTTCGCCGCCCGCACGAAGCCGGGAATAGTCAAGAGAGCCACACGGGCACAATGGGAGTAGCAGGGTTCGCTCCTGCCTGTGGTTTCTGTTTTGGGAGGAGAAATGAAAGAATCGGGCCAAGAAGCCCAGTGCTTTGGGACGTTATTTCTCTGTGTCCTATCTCCTACAGATGAAATGCCCAATCTCCAGCCCCCCAGTGTCCCCCCCCGCCCCCCCCAAGGAAGCAGACTGATAGGCTGGATTTGCTTGGCCTGGCAGAAATGAAATGCAGTTTAGGGATCCCAGGAGACATCCAGTCGGCCCCCCCTCCCCCCACCCCCACCCCTCTCCCCACCTTTTGTGCCCCCTACATGTAAAACCCCGGAGGCAGATTGATGCCTGCTGGCTGGAGGGTGGAAATTTATGGCTTTGCAGACAGGACAATAGTTTTCAGGGGGTCAGTGGGGGGTGGGGTGGGGGAAGCAAGGCACGTGGTCTCTCTGCCTCTCCATCCTGCAGCGCCCCCTTCTAGTGTCCCTAACATACACCCCGACTGTAACTCAACTCCATTTCCTAAATGCACTGGCTCTGTGGCCGCCTACAGGGGACGGAGTTGAGAAGCTCTCCCCCCCCCCCCCAGCGGGCCCTCCGCTCCCACTGCCCGCCCCCTTTCCACCCCTGCAACAATCACCTAGTCGCCATGGCAACGAGGTTAATTAATGCATCTATTTCATAGAAGTAAAACCTCGGACCCATTCAAGGTGCCCTGATATTGTCATCCTTAAAAAAGCCAACCTCTGATGTTTGATGTGTCTATGCGTGCCACGAAAAAAAAAAAAAGGCAAAAGTGATAAGAAGTGGGGAAAGTTTTGGGAAGGGGCTGGATGGGAGGGGGTTTCTGCCCACCCGCACGGGGGGAGAAAGCCAGGAATGTCACTTTTCTCTCTCTCTCTCTCTCTCTCTCTTTTTTTTGGTGATGGTATAAAATTAGCACAGTCAAGTAAATGTGTTATAAACACAAAGACACTGCCGGGAGGCGACGCGCCTGAATGTTAGGGAGGGAAGAATGAGAAAAATCGCCAGAGAGCAGTTTGGGGAAGGGGGCGGGTGGTCAAAATGGTCGGAGAGGGTGGCGGCTGCAACCCTCGAGAGCTGCCCGAACAGGCAAAAAAAATTATATAAAACAAGAAAAGTCAGTGTGGGCTTAAGGGGGAGGCCGGGGCAGTCTGGGGCCGAAAACAGTTTATGAGCAAGTGTTTTGAAATCCTGCTTTAAATAAGCCGGTAAATGAATTCAACCTTGTCAGATCTCTCTCCCTCACGCAGACCAAATACCCCGCTGGTGTGCTGTCTAGACAGATAACAAAGGACTTTTTACAGCGCCCAGAGACGCGCTGACAAAGTAGCCATTTAAAGATGCAGTATTGCTTTCTCCGTCTGAAACGATTTGTCAGATGGGCTTAAATGAAAATGCTAAGTTATCGGTCTGATTTGGGGTCTGCCAGTGGCCGGGGCTGGGGGCGGCGGGGCGGGGGGGGACGGCAGGGGGACTGGCGGCTCTGGAGAATTCGAAAACGTATCATCTCTGATTGGGCTACATTCCAGGTCGCTCCAGGCCCGTACGCGGCTGGCCGGCGAATAATTCTCACTCTTGTTCTCAGAAGCCGAGCGCCAACACGTTCCCGGCGCCTAGTGTGGGCAGTCTCTTGCGCACTTAAAAACAGGGTGGCAATGGGGTTAAAATAAAACGCATTGTGGTGGGGAGGCAGGAACTTGTGCCCCCTGCCTCTGGGGACCCGGGGAACAAACGGGAGAGCAGGAAGTCGGCGTCACCTCCCACTTGGTGTTTTGTGGGACGTTCTTGCCCCAGCTTTTACCAAAAGGGCTGTCGCAACGTGGGCCATGGCCCCTCCCCGGGAAAGGAGGACAGGACGGGGCCGGCTGGCCTCAGGGTGCACCTCTGGGACACACCCCGTGACCCAGACAGAGCCTAAACCAGGGGCTGGGCCTCCACGCAGCCAGGGCAGGGCAGGGCAAAGGGCGCAGAAGCTGTCCCCAAGGGCCGCTGGGCCCGGTGCACCGGGGGCCGGTGCTACCACCTGGGGCGCCCCGAGAGGGCTGGGTCCCCTAGATGCGGGTCTCTGGTCCCTTCCGTTCAGGACCGCCAGCTTCTGGAGCAAGGCCCGGGGGCCACCAGGAGCCCAACGTGGTGATTCTCTCCACCAGCCTTCGCTGCCTTCTCTGCTGGGGTGCTGGCCAAGCGGCCACTTCCTCCACGTGCCTGTCCCTGCCAGAGGCAGCCTCTACTTCTGAGACTCGCCTGCCCTCCCTCCCGGCGCCCCTCCCCTCCCGCCGGCCCTCAACTCAGCACCAGGGCAGGCCCTGCTGGCCTCTGCCCCCGGGGGGCCACGATGTGGGGGGCCACCTCGCTCACATGCTCCAAGCTGAGCCCAGGCCTGGACACACGGCAAACGGTGCAAACAAAACCCTACAGGATGAGGATCCCTACTGAGAAAAGCTGTCTACACCAGAGAAAAGCCGTCTACACCAGTCCACTAGGAGTCACTGTGCAGGTGCCATAAATCCTGATGCCTCCCCAGGGGGTTATAGTGACTGAAAACTACTCAAATAAAGGGGGGGGGGATTACAGGCTACATGTCCCCCCTTTTTGGTTTTTGGTCTCCGCACGCTCATTTTAATAACTGCTCTTAAAAGGCTGCTCATCTCCACTCCTGTCTGCGGGGCACGGCTGTCTGTGGACGGAACCTCTGGTTTCACCCGGACACGCGGGGTGGAGATTCGGGAAGACGTCTCCGCTGTGGGGGGACGGGACCCCAGGAGTTAGAACAGCGTCCTCACTGGTCAAGGGGGTTCGGACGAAGCGGTGGGAAACGGAGGTCCTCACGGTCCCCGAGCTGGACCTTGAGAGGCCAGCCGAGCTGCATGCCATTTACCAGCAGGACCCCCAGCCAGGGGCGAGGTGACCCAGTCAGCACTAGAAAGATCCCAGTTCCTGCCTGCACGTGTGAGTCCCTGCCCCCAACACACACCCGCTGTCACTCTCACCTGGTAACCAGGGCGGACGGAATCAGCGACCCCACTCGCCCGGGGCTCCCTCTCCCCAGCCACCCCCGGAAGTCGGCCAAGCCGGCACAGGGAATGTTTTTGCCAACTCGTCCCCGGACACAGCCGTGGAGAGTCCTAGGCCTGAAAGGGAAGGAGAAAAGTCCTACAGGGCAGGATCGGGGCAAATCGCCACAAAAGCGTCCAGCCCCTCTGGGCACCTTTGCTCCCACCGGGGCCCCCTCCCTGCCTGCCCTTCCTGACCCCATTCTGCTTTTCCCAGCCTCCTCTCAACCCCGCAAGAGCTTACAAACGGCTCCCGAGAGACTGGAAACAGCGCTCCTTCCTCTCCCTTCCCCGAGGCTGGGCCAACAGGTGCGGTGGCTTGCGTGGGCGATCGGTGCCACGGGCCACCCCAATTCTGGGGGCTTGTCCCCAGCAGCGCAGAGCTGGGAGAGGCCTCCTCGTGGGGACAAGCCATTCGAAGAGGCAAGCGATGGGCCACCTCACACAGCAGCAAGTGCTGGGCAAGACAAGCCCCGTCTGTGGCTGCCCCCGCCATCAGCCTGCCCTCAGGGGCCTCCGCCGTGCTCCCCACTGGCTCCGGATCCGGAAGGGGCACCTGCGTGTTCCCTCCCCACCCCAAGAGCGATCAATGTCACAGTCGGCATCAGGGGCGAGGGCACCCACTCTGCACGGCGCAGGGAACGCGGATCCGCTCACGAAATCCCCACCCCGGTTCACCCTGTGAGCAATTACTGTGCCCCCTCATAAAACCTATTTTACAGATGAGGCTCTCAGAGGTGACAGGCCTTGCCAGTCAAGACTGGGTCCAGAAGCAGAGTATCAAACCAGAGACGGTGTGTCCCTCCTGGGCCAGTGCCAGCTCCCAGCGTGGCCCCGAGCTTTCTGCCACCAGTGGCCACAGACAGGATGGTTGGGAGGTTCACATCACAGGGAAGTTTCTGTCTGCCTGCCCTTTACGAAGCACCCAGACGGCCCCTAAGTGGGCGGAGGCCGGGAGACGTGGCCTGGCTACAACTCTTCGCAGTTTCCTGGGCTCGGGCCTGGCTGAGCGCTGCCTCTGGCCCTGGGGTTCCCGCTGGCAGCCCGGCCCAGACCTACCGGCACAGGCTGTGGGGTTTTATTTAGACGATGTCAGCTAAGCAGGCCTGAGGGGGCGTCAGCCTGATTGGGTTTCACAGTGCGTTTGTCAGGAGCTGCCTCCATCACAAATCGGGGAATGCTTTGCTGGTAGGACTGCTCACTCGACGGGCAGGCGGGGACCACGGGCTGCCTCCTTTGAAACTGTTGTCCCTGCGCCCACTCCCACCCCCCTTCCTCATTCGGGGAAGGTTTCTTCCTGCCTGGGCCCGAATCCCACTCTCTGAGGCCCCTCCCCAACCCCTGACCCCCGCAGAACAAAAGCGAGCATGAGCGTCTAGACCTCCAGTCTGAACGTGAGAAGGGGGCATTGTACGACCGGGACGGAGGCCTGGCCTCCCAGGCGGAAAGGTCGGGGCGCGGGGGCGAAGCGAGGGTGGCTCTAGCCGGGCCTGCCTCTCCGGTCCCACGCACTGCCTGTCCCTCCTGGAAAACAGATGTGGCCAGGGCTCCGCGCCGGGAATCCGGGCTGGGTCACTGCCAAGGCTGGACGCGCTGTCTCCAAACGAAAAGTGGGGAATCCCTCGGCCCATCACTAAAGGAACAAATCCACGGGAGGCCCTGGATCCAGGCAGCAAGCATACATAGAAGTCATTTATCAGGATGACCAGTTTAGAAAACTCCCCGTGTAGCCTGGGCGGACGTGACAAGGACAGAGACACCCCCCCGCAGGGACTCGAGGGTCTTCCTGAGTCTGGAAGGCCTTGTTCCAAGCCCGGGGGGGGGGGGGGGGACACGCTCCTGGATACCTGGCCATGGCTGCTGGCTGTGTGGCCCCAGGCCCCTAGGCACCCTCTCTGGGTCTCACTCAGGGACCCTCGTCTGTAAAAAAAAAAAAAAAAAAAAAAAAAGAAAAAAAAGGCTTGAATCCCATCTGTGGTTTTGCAGACTTATCTTACCAGCAGGAGCCTTTGTTGTGGACGAAAGTCTGGCTTGGGAGCTCGAGGTATTACACAGACACAAACAGCACTACAGAGCAGTGACACGCGGCTGAGGTTTACGGGTCACTTACTATGTGCCGGGCCCTGGCAGAGCCTCGCCCAACACTTGTGTCCTTCTCACCTTGGTTCTGAGACAGAAACGGTTGGCATCAGCCCATTTGACAGACAAGGAGCTCAAGACTCTGAGGGGCAGAGAGCCCTGTCAGAGGATGGGCAGGAGGTCCCCACGGGGCCTCCCCGTCCCAAGGAATAGATGCCGGGCAGCTGTGACAGAGCAGACAGCCTGAAGGGGACGTGTGCTTCCCCTTCCCAAAAGTGCTGGGGGCGGGGGATGTGGGCGCATCAACCCCAGCCTCTGCCAGCAGCTCTCTGACCAGCCTTCCTTGCAAAGGCCTGGAGCTCGGCCGGCAGGGTACTTTCCGCAAATTAAACCCACCTTCACGTGATGGGATGACATCCATTTGGACTTGTGTCTTTGTCATTTATCAAATCTTTTGAAATTTTGTTAAATAAGGAGCACAAGCCGCCTTTTACCTTCAGAAGCACCGAGCCCTTTGCACATTCTCCCCTGCACGGGTGCTGCGCGCTGCCCTGGGCGTCCTCGGGGATCCTCCTTGGAAACAGCAGAAGCCAGAAAACCAGGCCCACAGGTGAGCCCCGGGATCCCCTGCCAGGAATCCGTCCCAGGAAGCACTCAGGGAACCAAAGTCTCACGGATGCCCGCCTCTGTCACTGCTGCCCAAGGCTGATTAGGATCCAGGACCCGGGTTCCTGAATCTGCATCTCCTCCTAGAAAATTGCGGAAATGCAGGTCCCCGGCTCACTCCCCAACTTTCTCGATCAGCACCCCGGCAGGAAAGCTGGGAAGCCTCTCCTTTTCAGAAAGTTCCATATCGAAGTGAACCGTGGCACCTGGTAAATTAGGATGTGTCCACACCACGGGATCCAGGTTCCCCTCAACTTACAAGGTTGATGGGAAAGCAGGACCAAGAGAGAAAGACGGTCCTGTCGTACCCAGCCCGCCTGTGCCTCTCTCGAGTCTCGTCCTGTAGGACTTCCCACAAGCTGTGCCATACATTGAGGGGTTTTCTTGTTCAGTTTCTGTCGGCCATACTTGAGTTTGTCTTTTTCATGGCTGTATACTTCTACGACGTTCAGCCCAACCCACGGTAGGTACTCAACAAATGTGTTGAATGAGTTCATGGATGAAGGAGTAAAATGTTGAGGGAAGTGACCCATCCGAAAGGTTGCTAAATGAACACGAAATCACAGGTGATGCACCCCGCCCAGCCTCTGGAGTGGGGCAAGGGGACCCTCCTTTCCCAGCTCTTCTTCCTCATTAGCACACCCACAGAGGGGCTGGGCTGGGGTCCCCAAAGCAGGCTCTGAAGGGGGAGGGGCTGTGACTCGTGGCTGAGTCACAAAGGGTCTCTCTCCAGGCAGGTCGTGGCAAGGGTGAAGGAGTTGCCGGGACTTAATGACAGAACACGCTGCCATTTCTGGAGCATTTACAAGGCACTGAGCACTGAGCTAAGCACATATTGTCTCATTTGATCCCCGCTGTGATCCTATGAAGTGACTCTTAGGATCCCCATTTTACAGATGAAGAAACAGAGGCTCCGAGTCGGGAAGCAACCCCAGGGACGCTCCCCTAGTGATGGGGGCCGTCTGGCTCCACAGCGGGGGGCCCCACTGCCTCCCCCTTCTTGGGGCTGGGTCCTCCGTGTCCGCTCACTCCAGACACACGGGGTCTGGCCTTCTCAAGGACCTCGACAGGCTGCAGGCATCCGGACG